TAATTTCCTCATGTTGCTAATGTTCAAATTCCACTGATGTAGAAAAATTCGAAATTGAACCTCGCTATATCGAATATAGATATTTGGCGTAAAAGTTTTTTCAATATTAAAAATGTAGGGACTGTTCGTTCAATAAGATGTTACAAATATGATTCGACCGCAGTTAAATGTTTAGTCCTTCAATAGCAGAGAGTCAACTTTGAAGGAATGGCCGACTCTGTATTTAAAGCGGATATATTCTTTTACTATGTAACGCTTCACATCTCGAGATTGGGTCATAAACTCGGATAAACTAGAATTCTTTTATTTTTTTCTCATTTTAATAGTTTGTCTCTTAATTCTTTTTTGTTCGCTCTAATTATTCGTTTCCAACTCTTTTATCACAGATAATACTCATTTGGATAATTTACAGGATTCAGTAGGAACAGACAGCTTTTTTATAGATGATAGACCATAAAATATATAAATTTTTGAAAATTAAATTGTTAATTTTATGTAAATAAAATCAGATGTATTAGGTATGTATCATAAATATGGATGTTTAACTCGTTCTTGGAAAACACATGTTTACTATGACTGGAATATGTTTAGATTGTACTATAATTCATAACAGCTAAACTCACTTTTACAAAATGTAGCCCCCAGCCACAGGGTTATAAGTTACATAATTTGTTGTTAAGACATGTCAAAGTTCATCCGGCTGTTAAACTTATAAATATCAAGTTGTCAAGAAAATATTTTCGGTTTTACACTATCACAGTGACAAAAGCATGTTAAACACAATACAGTATAGTTCTTATTTCGATTAAATGCATTGTTTGATAGTGTAGTTACGATGCTTTACAGCTGACAATTAAAATCCGTAAATAATTTCTCGATGACCCAATGTATTCATAAAATGCATTTCAAGGAGACTTGAGGTAATTCCAATTTAAGCAATTTTTAAATATTGAGTACTGATAACGTAGTTTCCAATCATACACTCTATCTGTGACCATTTGTTTTCTTTAAAACTATCATCGATAAGCCTAACAATATGGATGATTGCTTTGACATTCTTGACACAAAATTTTATATTTGCTATAGTAAAAAGCTAGTAACGTTGTTACTGGATTTTTCCGGCATTGTTTATTTGTCTTCATCCCTAATAATTGCTACCATTACCTTTAAGTCTTCAGATGTACAGTACGGTGCATAATACGATTGATTACTCCTTAAAAAATGAGTCATTTAGGCCGAATTATATTGCCCTCCCCTTTCTCTTCAACATATAAAGATATTTCGGTCTCGGAGACCTTGAAACGGCGAGAAATACAAAAAAAAACCTTGAGGGTTTTTTCCTGTATGTAGGATTTTAGTGTAATGGACATGATTTTTTCACCTACTTTTAAGCTTATTAACTCCTGTACCTTACGTCGACAATTTCTGACATTTTACAGAAAGGTTTGCGTGTTAGAGAGAAATGTTTATAGAAATTTTCAGGAAAATTAAACCAGTGATTCGGGAGATATGAACCCACCCCCTTAATCTTTCTCGAACCAATAGTCCGATTTTCCTGAAAATTTCTAGAAGCATTTTCCCCATTATGCAAACCTACCTGCAAAATGTCATAATTTTTGCATTTCTTGACGTTTTAAAATCCTGACTCCAAAATTCTAAAAATTTTGAGGGGTCGTTTTTTGATCGAGTACCATACTTTCTCGGATATTATATATAACAGACATGGGCAAATGAGGCTCTTGCTGAAAGTGTTAATTTCTGTTTTTTATTATTATTTTTACAATTTTATTTTCACAATTTTGTGTATTAAAAAATTTAATATTTGTTTTATATTATATTTATATTATATAATAAAATCGCAGTACAGNCACGTATTTGTAAAATCTAAGTGACTCGTACAACATGGAATTCATATAAAACGGAATTATCAACAGTGTTATAGGGGGTCGACTGTATTTATATAATAAGTTATGTAATAAAATAACTAAATCATAAAATATATCGCGACAGTTAACTAACGAAAGTTCGCAACGCTGAACGATTTGAAAGTTTGCTTGCAGAAATCTTACAAAATTGATAGGAAAGTCTTGTAGAGAAGCTGATTGCAGTCTTAGCGCGTGCAATAAATGAACATATTAAACTGTTATAAGATATTAGAACATTTTTTGAATACATTTCATAAAGGTTTCGAGTTAATTTTGACGCATTTATTATGGTTTTATAAGTACAGTACATTTTTGTAAACGTTTTTAATATGGCGATTTCAGTTAACAGATGGCGCAACTTTACCAATCCGATAACACTGGATATGTTCGTTTTGGTAGGTGTAGTGTCTACATGACGTGGTCTCTTCACTTCTACAATAAGAAATTTCAAACAACGACGTTAAATTAAGAGTTAAAAAATGGCTTTAGATTAATACATTCAACTTTGTGGTAATTTGTAACTAAATTTAAATATGTTTATTCATTTTTCAATCGAAATCTAAACAAATTGAAATGTTTTTCTTAGTCTCTATTAAACAACAGAGCCTATAAATTGATAAGGACAATTGTACATTTTGTCTTCGTCGAAATCTAAATAAATAGATATTAGCTTAAAGAAAAATTCAATTTAATTTTTAATACAATTGTCCAACACAAATAGAACAATAAAATAATCCCCAAATGCATTAACACTTTTAGAAATTTATTTTATAATTCCTGTACCGAATGCTTCGGGAAAAAGATTTTTAATACTCCGAAAAGCGTTTAAAATTACACTAGGTCAATAAAGACGTTTCGAGTCGTTAGCGATATTAAATATTGAAAATGAAGACATCAATAAAACAGGTTATGACGATATAAGTGATATTTTTTGATCAGTTAATACCAAACCTTAAGTAAATTGCAGTTATTTTTAAATATAATTTATCGTCGGAATAAAAAAAGCTTTCTATAATAAAATTTTTTATTCTTACAACACACAGTATCTGCATTTTTTTTGTAATTTACTGCATTTGAATGAAGCATGTCTGCGTGAAATTCTCCAATGACATTTTATGAAAGATTTTTATTCATTTAATATTCGTGTAATGAATTATTTTGTTTTAATCTATACTTAAAATTGTACATTTTACTGGTTTATAATTCAAATGTCTATAATTGTAATTATTATATAAATTTAGCAGCTTTATTTTGTTCAAAATATCCTGGGAAGGAGGGACACTTTTAACCCTCCACTTCTGTATCTGAAATATGTAGATCCGATTCAGTCTTTGCTTCACAGTTATCTACGCTATGACAAATTGGAATAGTCAAACTCATTCGCAACCAATTCAAACCAATCTGATTCGGAGATCGGAGAAAATTTTGTTGTAGAAAAGTAAATTTTCGGTAAATGTCCAGAATTCACTACTATATTTATTTATCAAAAATTACTGTATTTTAGGCAAATTTACATTTAAAATAGTACACTTTCGCTTGTTTTTTGTTAGTAATTTACTGTCTGTTATCTTTCTGTATACAAATCTTTGCACTTTTTATCTTGAAAAGTATAATTCATTTTTCTCCTTTTTCATCTTCTATTTATTTTTTTTACTTTGTTTTAGTCTAGCATTTAATGAAAGTTTCGCTGCTTAGAATTCATTTTATTAGAGAAAACTTTCTTCAGATGACACCTCAGCGTTGTAGTATCATCTAATAAAATGAATCCCATTTAGATCCATCTAAAAAGTTTTAACTTAGAAATTATTTGATCTGTTTTACAGCATTGTTATTTAGCACATTTTGCTATGGTATTCGCAGTTAATTTATTTTATATACAGTAGAGTCTCGAAAACTCGGCCTAATGTGGACCGAAGGATGGCCGAGTTTGTGAAAATGCCGGGTTATCGGGAATGGCGTTAAAAAAATAAGTATGAGTGTTTCCTCAGAAAATACTGTACCGTACTTGTACGTATTGTTTACTTGAGAATACAACAGAGAATAACTGCCCAAATACCCTTAAACAAAGGAAAAGTACGTCCTATGAAGGCATACAGCCTTTACTACGTGAAAATGAAAATTAATGAATACACTGTGTACAGTAATTTATCTGATAAGACACACCTCAGAAAAATACTTTATGAGGCATAAAGCTGTCTATAATAAAAATTAATTAACTAAGGATTTTTTTGCCCTGCCAGGGTGTGGCCGAGTTATCCGGACTGCCGGGTTATCGAGTGCCGAGTTTTCGAGACTCTACTGTATTAATTTTCTCGATTAGACAGTTTGGGATTTTGCTTCGTAACTCCGTAATTACTTGTAAACAATAATTTTTACGGGTCTGAAAACGAATTGTTTATGGTGCAATTTATATAGGCTACCAAAATTGAAAAGCTTTAAGAACTCTAAAAGGTTTTTCGTTTACTGTAATATTTATCATGCTGTTTTGTACCAAGCGAATTTATGAAGTCGTTTAGTGTAATATTTTCTCGAAATACTGTTTAGATAACGTATGATTGAGCATCACTAATTGTTGAGTAAACATTATATAATAACCGAAGTCATGGATAAATCATATTTTGTCTTTAAGAATCTATTTTTGTGTTTTGTGCCTTTTCTATCATCATTCATTAAATCGATAACGAGCAAACCGCATCAAAATATATGAAAATAGATCTGAATAAAATTATTTTTATATTAAGCATGCATAAAATTTCGTATACGCCTAACTATAAAAGGAGTGCATTTGATCATAACTGAAAGAACCGAAAGATTAATAAATGCGATATTAAGAGAGCGATTGTTTGATATAATCCATCATAAAACTTGCCAAAAAATGGAAAGAAATAAATGAAAGAAGTTGGCCAAGCAGAGGAGTATCATATCTATTGTTATGAATAATCATTGAATATGTTTATAAGATACAAGTAACAAAAGACAAATCGTTAAACTAGATTCGTCTGTTGATAGGTCGTCTCGGTACATTTATTTCGAGCACTCCGTGCACTTTAGAGTCTCGTGTGTGGAGAGGGTGCAGAAATGTGAATAGAATAACTCCGCTGATACTTGACAAAATTTTTCCTTGACCGACCACACGCGTCGCCTTTTTTGATCATAGAATTACGACGACATCAGCTGTCGGGACGGTCACACACCTTGTTGCTGCTAAGGTGAGTAAAACATTGACTCCTTCGAAATGAAAGTATATTTTTGTGTTACAGGAATGTTTAAATTACTGTATATTGTTTTTCTAATTTGTTTTTTATATCTTTGACTCAGATTTAAGAATCCCTAATGCCATCTCTTATTAATTTTTAAATTAATTTAATTTCGTTAGGGGTAATCGAATTTTTAAATTCGATTACAACTTACTACGTTAATATATTTTATTACATTGTTTAAAATATATGATCTTGTAAACTAAAATATATAATAATTAAGTTTTTAGAAAGACAATGTTCTTGCAAAGCATAATTCTGTTTCGGAATCAAAATGTATGGTCATCTGCACTTCTATCTTACTATAAATAGATTATCAAAGTTCAAAACTCGACCATCTTCAAATCAATTCTTACATTTGCTAGATATGGAGTTGTTCTTCGTATTGGTGCAAGCAGCTGTTTGGACTCTACTCAGATCTGCGGGACAAGGAAGCATTTCTCATCGTAAAGCCAAAGGTTGTGTTTTATTTTATTTTTCTCTGTCTTTAAATTTGAAACGAAGCAGCATTCATTTAATTTGCATTTTCTTGCAGGAATTTCGCTTTTTACAATTGTTCAGTTTCCTAATTCTCCCTGTTATCTACCAGACGGACAAGTCGGAACTTGCTACAATATTGGAGAATGTAGACGACTTTCCGGTCTTCCACAGGGCAGTTGTGCCAGAGGTTACGGAGTTTGTTGTATTTGTAAGTGACCTTTTCTTACTATCTTTACTTTCAAGAGTGATAATTCTGATTATTTCAGTTCAACGAACGTGTGGCGGCATCATCACGCAAAACTGTACTTACTTCACTAATCCGGGTTATCCGGGCACCTACGATGGCAATCAGAGCTGCACGGTGGCAGTCAGACGCCCCCAGTCTCCTAAAATCTGCCAACTACGTTTGGACTTTGATGATTTTCGATTGCTTAATCCCGTTGCAGGAGATTGCATTTCCGACTCCTTTACCGTCACTGGACAGAATTCTAATAATGTGATACCTACACTATGCGGTTCTAATTCTGGTCAACACAGTAAGTAGCTCTTGTCGGTTATTTTCTATAATCTTGATCTAAAGCAGTTTGTTCTTTCAGTGTACGTAGACGTCGATGACTCCAATACGCTGGTAAATCTGAACACAGTGACAAATGGTCAAGGACCGAGACGTTGGAGCGTTAAAGTTTGCCAGATCGAATGCAACAGTCCATGGAAAGGTACTGTACTGTACGTTTAATTCATTCATAAGTAAATACAGCACGACAGACTGAACTCGAAAATCAAGCTCAATGACCCCTAATCCTAATATCAGAAGAGCCAAAATATCAGAAGAGCATTCCTAATATCAGAAGAGCATTAATTCTCTACTTGAAAGCATTTCAAATAGAGAATTAATGTAATAAGTTTTAGCAAAATCTAGGGAAAATGAATCGAGATGATAATTCTTTAACTTATTTTATTTACTTTTTGTTTATTAAATTCTTTTTCAATTCATAAATATTAAATTAATCATTTCGGCCATTTTCCATCACTACAAATAGAAACTGTCTTCAGAAAAACTCAAAATTTTTATTCCCGAAGAAATCGACTTCCTAGACAATAATTATTATGTATCACATTGCTTTCAGAAAGCTTCGTATGTTTTAAGTTTATACACGAAATTTGTAAATTTGTATTTTACTCTGACAATAATGTAAAAATTACATTACTGTCAGAGTAAGTAATTATTCTTGACGTACAGTACATCATTCTAACTATAGCAATTATTCTTTCTGTATTTTTTTAAATATTTATTATAATAAATCATGTAAGAAATGTTTTTATAATGATTTGGTTTGAATACGAAGCGCAACATATGGGCGATCTACGAAAAGAGATGCTTTTCCGGTAAAAATTTATATGGGAAACTGGCCCTTAATTAGGTAAAAAACCCGGGAAAATCCACGTGACCAGTCCGTGGTAGGGTGTGAACTCATGCCCAACACTTTACCATCAGTGTTAAGTAGCGGATTCAGAAATCTTCGGAAGGGATGTAGAAAAAAACAATCTACGGTAAATTAATTAATACAAAAAATTTAGGCATCTACTAGTATAAGTTTTAAAATGCCTCCATAATCTTATTTATTATTTTATCTAGTGTAATTTATTAAAAAATAAGATTATTAGAATATAAAATAGCGTCGAAAATAATAACAGTAATTTGGAATTTTTATCCACTAATTAAGTTCAAAAACTTTTAAATTTAGAATGAAACTCTTTATTTGGCAGCATATGGCGCAAGTAAAGCCCACCCAATCATTTATACCAGTGGTTCTCAACCGGGGGTACATGTACCCCTAGGGGTACTAGTGAAAATCAAAGGGGTACATCTTTCATTATAAAATGGCGTATGTTAATCAATTTGCTGTAAATTATTAACACAAGAAACAAGAAACGACAAAAACTTGCTTTAAAATATCCCAGTGTGAACACAGATTTCCCTTTTAACAGTCTAAACAACTTGTTTATCCACTTTATTTGTCCGTCTGTTAGTGCCATTAGTGCTGAGTGAACCTGTAGTCTAGTAAAATTACAGTTTAACTGAGCATTAATTATTTCTCGATAAGATTGGGGCTTTTCGTGTTTTTACTGAACTGCAGGTATTAGGAATAACAAGGCCTGGATCATATCCCCACCATGCAATGCGTGTCACTGCATGCGCGCATTACTTGATATTTAGCAAATTTATACATTACATTTGTTACAAAAATTGAAAGATTCATGTATTGTTCTGCATGTTATAAATTTGCAGCCATTAGTTTCAAGGTCAGTACACAATTATAATCTCTATTTAACAACGTGGGAACCAAATTTTGAAAAATTGCTGAAGATTTATCGCAACAAATATCCCATTAAATTTTGTTAGAAATTATTGTAGAATAATTTAATTTTTTTAAGTATAATGATTTATTTTTAGGAAATGTAATTTATGCATGTATTGAAATGACTTCTGTGATTTTATATAATATACTTGTCAAATAATAATAAATAAATGTATGNAATCTCATACTAAATGAACGTTAAATCATAAATATCAATTTTCAAATATCAAAAACAAATAATTAAATGCCGATTTCAATCCTTTATTTCAGGTGAGGGTGGACCGATGATAGTATTTTTTAAAAGTCCTCGTACCCCGAGTGGTAATTGGATGGGTTTTGATTTGAGATATCGACAAATACCCTGTACCACTAATAAGTAAACAGGTTTTATTAAATGAGAGAAAAAATTTTACATCAGATTGAAGTGTTACTAAAAACAAATTGTTATTCAATAAAATACATACGATACACTCGCTAATCGGTGTCGTTTCTGGACGATGAGCAAAGTATCTGCTCATAATCTAAATTAAATCCTTGTGCATTCTCCTCAGAATCGGTAACGAAATTGACTACGAAGGGACCACCGGTATTATCTATTCAAAACATTAAAAATTAGGAAAAAACCTACCGCATAAGAAGGAAGAAATATAAAAAGAATCACTTACCGGTTACCGGAAGATTTTCAGTGGGATTCTCCTCTTCAAGGGAAGGATTGAGCCTACTTCCACAGTATCTTATGCCTCCCAGCAGCAAGTAGTCGGTAGGGCACTCCATAACTCCTACGCCAGCTTCTCCGCCATTGACAGTAGGTTCATTTCCAGCATCGACATTGAAGATGGCAAAAACGGAACCATCCTTTACTCGATATTCGATGGTGCAACGACCCGATTCTTTGCGGAAACAGATGGCATAATTCAGGTTACGAGGATATCCTCCGCTAACGGTAGGAGCATTTTGAGCGTCATAGTTGAAACTCTGGAAGTTACCAGTGATGCCCGTGTAATATTGCAGACAATTAGCAGGAGCTATTGGCAGAAACATAATAAGTTCATTCTTAATATTACATAACTCAAACTCTTTTAATGAAAGCATTATATTCTCTTGCTCTAATATCAGAAAATCTATTAAACTTTTTCCTTTGTTTAAGTTCTAAGAGCCTATAATATCAGAACGGTGGATTTTTATATATTTATTTTTGATAAATATATAAAAATCCACCGTTCTGATATTATAGGCTCTTAGAACTTAAACAAAGGAAAAAGTTTAATAGATTTTCTGATATTAGAGCAAGAGAATATAATGCTTTCATTAAAAGAGTTTGAGTTATGTAATATTAAGAATGAACTTATTATGTTTCTGCCAATAGCTCCTGCTAATTGTCTGCAATATTACACGGGCATCACTGGTAACTTCCAGAGTTTCAACTATGACGCTCAAAATGCTCCTACCGTTAGCGGAGGATATCCTCGTAACCTGAATTATGCCATCTGTTTCCGCAAAGAATCGGGTCGTTGCACCATCGAATATCGAGTAAAGGATGGTTCCGTTTTTGCCATCTTCAATGTCGATGCTGGAAATGAACCTACTGTCAATGGCGGAGAAGCTGGCGTAGGAGTTATGGAGTGCCCTACCGACTACTTGCTGCTGGGAGGCATAAGATACTGTGGAAGTAGGCTCAATCCTTCCCTTGAAGAGGAGAATCCCACTGAAAATCTTCCGGTAACCGGTAAGTGATTCTTTTTATATTTCTTCCTTCTTATGCGGTAGGTTTTTTCCTAATTTTTAATGTTTTGAATAGATAATACCGGTGGTCCCTTCGTAGTCAATTTCGTTACCGATTCTGAGGAGAATGCACAAGGATTTAATTTAGATTATGAGCAGATACTTTGCTCATCGTCCAGAAACGACACCGATTAGCGAGTGTATCGTATGTATTTTATTGAATAACAATTTGTTTTTAGTAACACTTCAATCTGATGTAAAATTTTTTCTCTCATTTAATAAAACCTGTTTACTTATTAGTGGTACAGGGTATTTGTCGATATCTCAAATCAAAACCCATCCAATTACCACTCGGGGTACGAGGACTTTTAAAAAATACTATCATCGGTCCACCCTCACCTGAAATAAAGGATTGAAATCGGCATTTAATTATTTGTTTTTGATATTTGAAAATTGATATTTATGATTTAACGTTCATTTAGTATGAGATTCACAAATATTCTCGCATTTTTAATACATGATTTATAATTTAAAGCGTGAGTGCAAGAGATAATTAACAGCGAACCATATACCTATCTATGTCTACACTAATTAAAAGACCTATAAAGCAAGAATGTTTGTTGTTTGCTACAGGTAATTTTGGAATATACTGAGCCAATTTAAAATATTTTTCGTTATTGGAAAGCTTATTCCTTCCAGATGAACACAGGCAATATATATTTCATATTATAAAAGGAAAATGCACGAGAAAGATGTTTTTACCCGCGCCATTTTCTTGCATCGTCATTTGTCCGTTTAAGGTCGAGCCCATTTGTCAGTTTGTGGCATTTTTGAATTTATCATCTTATATTTACGGTTTTTGTTTCGATTCATGCAGTTCGAGTAGTTGTGTTTTGTTAATATTGTCTTTGTCGTTCGTTTCTTATAATAATACTCTTATGTGATATTTACAACTATAAGGACAGTGGCGGATTTAGCGCTTGAAAGGCCCCAAGCGCAATTCAATTTTGAGGCTCCCTCTAAATATTTTCACTACTCCTACCCCCTACAGTGTGCATTCTACGCGCACGTCTTTTTACTCTGTTAGGCAGTAGCGGATTATGTTCCTTTGAGGCCTAGGCGCAATTTTGTTAACAAATAAAATTCTTAAATAATAAGTTTTTCTTTATAATATACGTTTAAACGTTTACTAAAGTCTTAGAGGCATGTTATCTTTTTTGCTATGATGTAGTTTTTGAGGCCCCTTGTGACAACGAGGCCCAATCTATAGAATGGTATTAGATAAATGAAATCAAAGACCAGATATGGAAAGATTAGATACAGGAGACCCCGATTAACCGATTAACTATTTGTGAACTTCCGGTGAAAATGGAAGTCACATTATTTCAATTCAAAACTTTTCCCCTGTAAGGAATTAGATAGATGACGGCATGACTTTGCTGCTAACAGGAAAAGTATGATGTACAGAGGTAGAGACAAAACTACTAATCTGAGGTGGAGAGCATATATTTTATATTAAATATATTTAAAATATATGATTAAAAATTGCAACCCGGCATTATGACGATGTCACAATGTTCTTTTTATAATAGTTAAACATTTTACAGCAAGTGATAAAAAATTTTGGGTAAATTTTTCCAATTTAAAATAGATGTAAAATTTTTACAGTAACTTATATTGAAACAAGAACACATTTCCAACCAAACGTATACATTTTATCACATTGTTGAAAATAATTAATTCTCATCTTCATAAAAATGAAATGTTATATTTTTATTTCATTTTATAACACTAACTAATTAGCACATAAAACAAATAAAAGTTTAAATAAATAGATTTGACCTTCCATAATATCAGAACGGTGGATTTTTATATATTTATTTTTGATAAATATATAAAAATCCACCGTTCTGATATTATAGGCTCTTAGAACTTAAACAAAGGAAAAAGTTTAATAGATTTTCTGATATTAGAGCAAGAGAATATAATGCTTTCATTAAAAGAGTTTGAGTTATGTAATATTAAGAATGAACTTATTATGTTTCTGCCAATAGCTCCTGCTAATTGTCTGCAATATTACACGGGCATCACTGGTAACTTCCAGAGTTTCAACTATGACGCTCAAAATGCTCCTACCGTTAGCGGAGGATATCCTCGTAACCTGAATTATGCCATCTGTTTCCGCAAAGAATCGGGTCGTTGCACCATCGAATATCGAGTAAAGGATGGTTCCGTTTTTGCCATCTTCAATGTCGATGCTGGAAATGAACCTACTGTCAATGGCGGAGAAGCTGGCGTAGGAGTTATGGAGTGCCCTACCGACTACTTGCTGCTGGGAGGCATAAGATACTGTGGAAGTAGGCTCAATCCTTCCCTTGAAGAGGAGAATCCCACTGAAAATCTTCCGGTAACCGGTAAGTGATTCTTTTTATATTTCTTCCTTCTTATGCGGTAGGTTTTTTCCTAATTTTTAATGTTTTGAATAGATAATACCGGTGGTCCCTTCGTAGTCAATTTCGTTACCGATTCTGAGGAGAATGCACAAGGATTTAATTTAGATTATGAGCAGATACTTTGCTCATCGTCCAGAAACGACACCGATTAGCGAGTGTATCGTATGTATTTTATTGAATAACAATTTGTTTTTAGTAACACTTCAATCTGATGTAAAATTTTTTCTCTCATTTAATAAAACCTGTTTACTTATTAGTGGTACAGGGTATTTGTCGATATCTCAAATCAAAACCCATCCAATTACCACTCGGGGTACGAGGACTTTTAAAAAATACTATCATCGGTCCACCCTCACCTGAAATAAAGGATTGAAATCGGCATTTAATTATTTGTTTTTGATATTTGAAAATTGATATTTATGATTTAACGTTCATTTAGTATGAGATTCACAAATATTCTCGCATTTTTAATACATGATTTATAATTTAAAGCGTGAGTGCAAGAGATAATTAACAGCGAACCATATACCTATCTATGTCTACACTAATTAAAAGACCTATAAAGCAAGAATGTTTGTTGTTTGCTACAGGTAATTTTGGAATATACTGAGCCAATTTAAAATATTTTTCGTTATTGGAAAGCTTATTCCTTCCAGATGAACACAGGCAATATATATTTCATATTATAAAAGGAAAATGCACGAGAAAGATGTTTTTACCCGCGCCATTTTCTTGCATCGTCATTTGTCCGTTTAAGGTCGAGCCCATTTGTCAGTTTGTGGCATTTTTGAATTTATCATCTTATATTTACGGTTTTTGTTTCGATTCATGCAGTTCGAGTAGTTGTGTTTTGTTAATATTGTCTTTGTCGTTCGTTTCTTATAATAATACTCTTATGTGATATTTACAACTATAAGGACAGTGGCGGATTTAGCGCTTGAAAGGCCCCAAGCGCAATTCAATTTTGAGGCTCCCTCTAAATATTTTCACTACTCCTACCCCCTACAGTGTGCATTCTACGCGCACGTCTTTTTACTCTGTTAGGCAGTAGCGGATTATGTTCCTTTGAGGCCTAGGCGCAATTTTGTTAACAAATAAAATTCTTAAATAATAAGTTTTTCTTTATAATATACGTTTAAACGTTTACTAAAGTCTTAGAGGCATGTTATCTTTTTTGCTATGATGTAGTTTTTGAGGCCCCTTGTGACAACGAGGCCCAATCTATAGAATGGTATTAGATAAATGAAATCAAAGACCAGATATGGAAAGATTAGATACAGGAGACCCCGATTAACCGATTAACTATTTGTGAACTTCCGGTGAAAATGGAAGTCACATTATTTCAATTCAAAACTTTTCCCCTGTAAGGAATTAGATAGATGACGGCATGACTTTGCTGCTAACAGGAAAAGTATGATGTACAGAGGTAGAGACAAAACTACTAATCTGAGGTGGAGAGCATATATTTTAAATTAAATAAACTACATGTTAAAATGTAGTTTGTTTTTTTATTTTTTTCAAAATATCCTCCTGAATAAAAAACATACCTTTGAACTTATTTATCGAACAGTTAGAAAATTTTTTTCTTTATTTAGTTATTCTAATTTCTTTGTGACACTGTCTTTATTAGTATTTAAGGTATTTTGGCAGGTATAAAGCTCAACTTTTCAATACGTATTTGATAGAAATAAATCAATTTAGGTGATAAGTCAAGGGAATAAAAAAATGATTTAGTTCTTCAATTTATCTACAAAGTTTTTAATCTTTATTATAGAATTAAACCATAAATTATTACCTAATAAAACTAGTTCTCTCTCTCTCTCTTTTAAATCGAAACTTTATTCAGTAAATTCTTTTAATCAAATTTTCTGAAATTATACATTTATTTCATCAATTCGTAAATTTTACTTCTACTTTTATATTAATTGCAACACGATTTAATATTTTCTTTTTTTTCCCAGCATTATAAAAATACAGTACTGTACTCTCATTCAAAATTGAACACATACAGGTTATTACAGAGAATGTGCGATTGCTTAGTACAGGCCTGGACAACCCGCGGCCGTCACGTTAAATTGTGTGGCCCGCTAAGCGATATTATATATCTATTAAAACTTTTGTTTTCCGTTATGTGTATACCAAAACAATTAAATAAATGAAAATTTGCATGTGTCGTTGTTATAATGCGCAAGTGCGAGTACGAACTCTTGGTATAACAATAAAATCTTATTCATTTTGTATTTGTTTTACTTTTTTAAAAGCATGTTTGCCTAAATTGCGGCCCACCGTAATGATACGCGTGATTAAAGTGGCCCGCGAAACAATTTGGGTTGGCCAGGCCTGGCTTAGTATAATGGTAGACAATTTTTCGCAGCTTTAGATCGGTGCTTTAAAAAAAAATGAGTCTCATGATACTATTTATGCCAAGGAGCTATTCGAGAATGTCGCGATATTTGGAATTATTCTAAGAAAATTTTAAAAAATACGTAGTGGAAAGTAATAGTGTATATTTAAATACGAATGTAAGTGCGTATTAAAATAATAACTGTGAGATATATACTTTTTTCATTATAGCAACATTAATCCTAACGATCAATAAGCCTGCTATTACTGAAACTGAACTCAAGGTCAAATTTTTTTGAAAATAGGGTGGAGTTTTAGTGTTTTTTAATAAGCGTTAATCGAGTGGAGCTATACAAAAAGTTTCAAAAGCACTGATTTAGATCTTTACTGCGTTCTTGCCAATAAATCAAATTTCGTAGTTCACATTTATTTATGTTCTAATCTAACTTTAAAATATTATTATATTTGTTAATTAAAATTGAA